TCGTATAGTCTAATTCATCCACCGCCTAGACAATAGTAGCCCAGAAAAACAACAACAACCGCAAAGCATCTGCCCTGGTCTAAACATCAACGATTGGTGTCGGGATCCGCTGCCGTCCTCGGGAAGAAATGGGAGCCGCCGACGGCGGCGGGTGAACCAAGGGAACCGCCGCCCCTCTCGGCCGTCCCGCTCCTCCTTGGACGGGAGCACCTCTCCCCTCGTCCCCCCCCCGCCCTCCCGCCCCCATTTGCTCTCCACGAGCACCAGTGGTGCGGTCCTGGCCACCCTGTCCTCTGCCACGCCCCTCTCGCCCACCGCCACCGCGCCCCCTGATCGCCGTCCGCGTCCCGCTTAGCTCAACCCTCACGCTCCTCTCTCCCCGCCCTCCGTCCTGTTCCCCGCCCCGTCCTTCGCCACGCCCCCCGCTCCGCCCTCCACCTCTCCCACCCTCGCGCCCTCCACCTCTCCCCCCCTCTCGCCCGCCGCCCCGCCCGAAGCCCCGCCCGCCGCCCCGCCCGCCGCCCCGCCCGCCGCCCTGCCCGCCGCCCCGCCCACCAACTGCTCCAGATTGTTGGTTGGCCTCCTTCGTTGCCCTTGCCTCCGCGCGTGCCGCCTTTGCTTCCTCAGCTGCCTGCTTCGCTTCTTGGTCCTTCTTGGCCTGAGCAAGATGTTCTTCGGCGGACAGCAGACCACCTTCGGGCTTCCCCCCCCCCGCCCGAACGGTCGCGAAAGCCTTGGTGCGCTTGGTGAGGCGGGTGAGCCCGCCAAGGAACACGGTGTTGACACGGAGCCCCTCGATCATCAGCCCGTGTCTTTTCAGCTCCAGGAGGGCAGCGCGGCCGAGGTCTCGCTCGAGTTGATCCTTAGAGGCAACCACGGCGAGGTCTTCACGAATAGGGCGGTCATGGTCCCGTTGCTTCCTCTTGCTGTGTAGTCTGTTGATAGCTTTCTCCATGCTCACCGGCCACAAGCCCGACCCTTTGAACGCCGCCTTGTTGTTCTCAGGCGTGAAGCTCCCTGCCCATGCCTCCGCAATCACGCCAGCCATGTCGCGCTTCACCGGACTCCTCCCCCCGTTCTTTAGCGGGTAGGCCGTGAGCACCTTGGTGATCTCCATCTTGAAGGTTCCGAACGTACCGACGTCCAAGGGCTGGGTGATGTGCGATGTGTGGGATGGAAGCTGGAATAGGTCCATGTCCAGGGAGATGCCCAAGCTGATGGCGTCGAAGGTCGTGTGTGAGGCGTGGCCGTCGAGCACAAGGGCAGCTTTGCCCAGCAAGCCGCGCGCATCGAGCTGCTTGCGGAGGTCTCGAAGGTAGTCCAGGAAGACGTGGCTCTGGATGAAGGATGACTCCGTGACGGTGTACTTCGCATCGGGGACGCCGTTGTTGTCCTGGATCCAAGCGGGTTGCATACGCTGGCCTTTGAAGATGATGGTAGGGTGGAACGTGTGGCCGTCGGCACCGATGGTGGCGACCACCGTCGTATTTTCTCGCGAATTGGAACGCCTCGCGCCGGGTACCTTGGTGCCTCTTGCGACGATTGCCTTCCCCGACTTTGTACCTTGAGGGGTCGAACCTACAACACGCGCGCATCGGGGGTAAAGACAGTTGAACAATCAGTAAACTAGACACACAAAAAACGCGCGTACAAACACACATGGGTGCTGCTCGCTCCGGGTGGTGGCACACAGCAGTGGTGAAGGCCATTTTTTGTGCGGCAAGTGTCGGATTCGTTTAAACTTTGGGTGCGAAACAATAACCCCACACCCATGGCAGTTTGCATTGAGCTCCAAACGTAGGTGGGTTTACAAAAACAAAGCGTTCTACTGAAGTCTCGACGTGACTAGACTAGTCTGCACTTCGCGCGTCGTTCAGCAACACACATGCATTTTGCAGACCAAGAACACACGCCCGCTGTTGCCGGTAGCATCACAACAGAAAACGATGTACACATGCAATCATGCGGCAGAGTGCAACTGAGATGACCACAGGGACTGTTACATGCTAACCTCAGCCGACTCCAGCAGCAAACATGCGGGCGTGTTGTGTGCTACGCGCATGACAAGCAGCAACGGCTCGGAAGATATGCGGGACAACTGCTGGATCTTTTTTTTTTGCAGCAGCAGAACTCCGCGTTGTTGTGACACATCGCAGTGCTGCTGGTACTTCGCCTACGAACCCACAGCAGTCGATACTGACACCGCTGACACCCAATGACACCTACTGACACCTCAACCCTTGCCCTAACTCACTTGTCTCATCCGTGTTGAGGATGCGTTCCGGCGGGAGCTTGGTCTCCTCCAGGTACTCCGCCCATGCTTTGTAGAAAGCTTGAAGGCGAGGCTCGCCGTCTTCGTTAATCCGGTTTGCTTCGTAGATGTGGGTGGCTCGCTCCGACAAACCCGGGTGTCTCGCCATAAACCCCTCAAGCCAGCTGTCCCCAGGGCCCTTGTCTGGGTCCCAGGGCACCTTGCGCCCGTCGGTGCAGATGTTGCGCACAGCGTCTCTCAGCTCCCTCCGACCCAACAGCAAGAAGTGTCGGGAGGCGTAGTTCACTTNCCCCGAAAAGGGCAAAGATGCCCCACATAAGGGGTGTGGGTGAGGGCTGTGCTGTATCTCGGGAGTGCTTGACCCGATCGACACGCGGAGGTGCTCAAACGAAAGCTAACGGAAAGCTGAAGATTTCAAAAAAAAAATTGGGGGGCTCCGCGCATTGTGCGCCGAGGGACGTGCATTTGAAAAAAGTGTTCGTTAAAGGGGGGGTGTTCGTTAATACCCTGGTTTACTCTAGAAGAGAAGATTACGGTAGTGAATCGTTTGCACCGGGCCCGGAGCGTTCGTAGTTGGGATTGATGGCATGCCCAGCACTCTTGCGGTAACGGCAGTTCGGCACACGGTCCCACGCATCGTTCGAGGGATGCAGGGATTCTCTCCATCATGTCGACTACTCTTCAAGAATCATACCATCCTCACAGAAATACTACAGGACCCGTTCGAGATATCACCAAAGTCGGAGGGGAGGGAATGGGCAAAAACCGGGTGGATATTGGGCTAAACTCGGCTTTTTTCGAGTCGTCAGTGATATTAAATGTTTGCTGTTGCCTCCTTCGACCCATCCTTTCGGTCGTGGCGCGCGTGATCGTGCGTGGCACATAATTGTTCAAGACACTAATTAAACCAACCAAAATAATCATGACGCCCCGTACACCGTATTCCAGACACAACCGAGCTTTGCATCGAAGATGATTCATGACGAGTCCAAGCAGGACGCGCTGGAGTCTTCCGCCACCACCGCCACCTACGACGTCCTACGGCAGCGCGTTCCGGCGAGGGCCTTGCTCGTCCAGAAGGCCGAGCTCGCGAAGAAGAAGGGCCACCGGGCGATCAAAGTGCTCACCAGCGGCCCTCAGGCCCTCGTCGACGGCGTCTTGGCCGACGCCCGCGGCGTGGATTGGCGGCTGTTCGACACAGAGGAATTTTCCTTCGAGTTCTAAGTCAAAAATCCCGATGGATGCGAAACGACAGCAGCAGCATGCATCTTGTAGTAAATAAGCGGTCTATGCGATCCCAACGTTGCAGCGGACTCGGTGAAAGCAAAGCGTGTTGACTATTTAGATCCAAACGTCTCGGATACATGCAGATCTACACTCGAAATATGACGTCGAACCGTTTGGGTCTTGGGCTGGAGGAATGCCACCATTGATATGCCTTACATTTTCCTCGTTTGACTGATTTTTTTTTGGACCGCAACAAAGTTCTGTGAGGTTGTGTTTACTTTCTAAAAAAGTTCGGATTTTTGTCGTTGCACCGTTCCAAGCTTGCTCCATCACACCAGACCAGGTCATCCTTGATACTGCTATGTTCTACGATAGGTGTTGGCACTCTCTTCGACTGCTTCTCGGTGCACGACACTCATTTTTTTCGATGTAGAGGCAGAAACACATCTACATGCCTTTTGTTCCAATGTAGACACAGACGCATATGTCCTCTTTTTCAATGAGTTACGTGGGCACAGAGGCACATGATACCCAGGTGGTCTCGAAGCGGTGACACTCCTGCCCTCAAGGCTTTCAGCCCACACCCAGTTTGGCCGCCGGGACTGAGCATGTTGTGGGACCCGTGTAATGGAATATGACGATGTAGACTAAGCATGGCATGCATCACGGCTTGCGACGGTCGTTGCTTCTCTACAATGTTCCTCTTTGTCACGGTATTGGGCCCGGGACAGCTGTAACATACACATCTATCTTCGGATGTATCCAACACCTTCGTAAGATCTTCAATATTCCGAGCTCATACAAGCGGGGGTACAACAATTGTTGATGGCAGCAAGTAGGTGCGTTCCCTCTTGCTTAGTGTTGTCCGGGAGTGAGCGGTAGCGAACGACTGAGAAAGAGAGCGATCGGCCTGAAGCGGAGCGGCCCTGACCTGCACACCGTGGTCGAACGAGCCCTACACTGCAGTATCGTCACATTTTGTCGGTTTTCTCTTGTTTTTTACGGGGAGGGGGGTATGACGGGCACGGCTTCCTGCCTATCTTTGAACATTGCCCACCAAATGGCACCCACCTTACATGGAGAGGAGTGCATAATCACCCAGTATCAAGCCAATATATCAGGGGTGATCGCAGTCGTTTGTTTTTGTGCGATTCTGCAAGTGTATGATGCGCCACCACATGTAACGCACCCGGTGCATGTGTCCACAACGTGAACAGCACGTGTGTTACCCCGCGTCATCTTTGTGTTCTCCCTCGAAGATAGCAAGAGTGGGCTAAGGCGGTGCATCGATTGTGATACATTGGAGTAAGCATGCTTTATCAACGGTCTTCTCATGAATGACAGGGCACAGCCCATAAACCACATCAAAGACACTGCAGTCAATTCCTCCTCACATGCCGGTTAATCTGCGGGAGGAATGTTAAACGCCAAGCAACATCATCGCCAGATTACAACACATGAAAACACATGGGAAAATATGTGTTCGCAAGCACGGCAGTGCAAGCTCGATTGGTTGGGTTTAAAAGTATGTTCATTCAGCAGTTCCTTCTTCAAATCATTAAAAAACAGTGCAAAAGCGAAGATCTTTACTATCGCAGAACGCCTCTCTAGTGCAGGCATCCCGGTATGACAAGACATAAACCACCAAAGGGCAAACGAGCAACAGCGACAACCAGACACCATCCACCAGGCTGAATCGCTGCAAGACCAGGCACAGAGCAGACACCACACTAAAAAGAGACCCCCTTCCCCCAGCCCCCTCCCCTGCGGTCGTTGTTTCCTGCATCGGTAGACATTACACCGCTTCTATGAGCCCAAAACAAAATGAAATCCGGCGGCAGGAGAGCATCATCCGGCTACCATCTAGGGAGCAAGAGGTGGTCCCCTTCCCCCATTGCAGCTCTAAAACAAAACAGTTCACAAAATCACAACATGACATTGCTATTCACATAGCGCCCCCAGCAACAAAATCGGTGCAAAAGTTCTGAAGAACGCACGAACGAGAAATTTAGTTGAAGGTGTATCCCGCGCCGAGGAGGTCGTTGATCACGTACGGCTTGTTGTTCAGCTCCTCGTGCACCATTAGAGCCAGGATGCCCATCTGTGCCGCGCGCCCGTTGTTCAGCTCGATCGCGCGCTTCGACGCCTGCGTCTCCTCCGACATCGCGTCCCACGAGGACGCGAACGGGTTGCCGCCGTTCGTGAAGTCTCCGGGGAAGGAGCCCTCCACATTCTTCATCACAGCCAGCTCAAGGAAGCCCACGAACGCGAAGATCTGCGCGAGGCCCGCCGGGGGGATCTTCGACAGAGCGGCCACGCCGTTCGGCATGTCCGCGAACGACAGGTCCGCCGAGTTCGACAGCATGCCGGGGAGGCGGACGTTCTGCTGGGTCAGGTGACCGGCGATGGCGAGCATAGCGATGCGCCCGTGCTTCACCTCCACGTACCGGAGGCGCTCGAACCGCTCCTGGTCCGCGTCCGCGAGGAGGCCGAGCGGGTCCCAGAATCCGAGGGGAGGCTGCGCGCCGATCTCCGACTCGAACGACATCTTCATGGCGGAGGACGACTTGGCCGAGGTGGCGACGGCGGCGCCGTTGAACGCGCTGTGGTGTTTAGTGGAGGTGGTCGAAAGTGGGTGCCAACAAGGAAACGGGAAGAGGGGGGGAGACGGGAAATAGGGAGGGGCAGTGATGAGGAAATGAAACTATTGAACTGAGAGCAGGCATGGCGGATTTTCAACGATTCACTCTCAACAAGTTCAACATAATATTAAAGGACCTGACGTCCAGTATATTGGGGACAAGAGAGCACGTGCCGTGATTTGATCCGGTAGTTGGGGGGTAAAGCATACGATATAAAAGTACACCACAGGTCGAGACAGGGGTTTCTATGTTGTGCCGCGACCGGCAAGTGATGTGCTCGGTGTTGAGGAAAAACAAGGCCCATCACGGGATAGCCGTAGTCCAGGACAGGTGCCATCTTTTTTCGCTTGAAAAACTCAGGGGCGCCAGAAAGCAGCTCCGTTGCACAGGTCCGGACTATTCTCTTTCGAGTACCGTATGGTCCAATTGTTCGCTTGGGTTGGTTCATGAATCTCAAGGTTCATCGTAAGTACTGTAGGACGTCAGCTGTTGATGAAAAAAAAGGTGCTCCCGAAGGCGAAATCCACACGAAACAGAAGGTTCAACAATACTCCTATGTACAGCAGTAGCGAGATATGTCTCGTCGGGACTACAGTCTGTTAATTTGCATCGACGATGCCTCGTGTCTTAAAAGCTGGGCGTGGTGTAGCGTTGATGAATCAATGCATAGCCTTCTCGTAAGCACTGAATGCAATCTCATTTTTCGGGTGGTTGTGGCAGCACGGCGTGTTCTTCAAGGTACGAGTGAAGGTACACATACGCACCATATCCATACGGCAGATTGGATACTCTGCCAACTTGGTTTAGTTTCGCTGTTGCCGTGACCTATGCACCCAGACGTTGCTTTAGGGGGCGCTACTATGGAGTACGAGCTTGGAGCGCGTGATGGTACTGTTTTACAGTGCTTATCGAATCGAGAGAGGACACGATCAACAAGAGGAACAACCACATTTCGAATCGAGAGAGGACATGATTGACAACAACAAGCAACCACGTAGGCTATAACATCTCTGTGTATGAACTCTGGAGCCACTGCTGTTCATACCGCTGCGGGCTCTCCACAACAGCAGGAGAAGGGTTTGGGTGATGGGACAGACGAGGAGCGCAAAACACCACGGCGACCTACACACGGGTGCATGATCACGTTGACGTGTACCAACACAAGAGGATGATACCACAGCAAGCGCACGCGAAACAGCTGCCCTCACCTGGGTGCCACAAAGGCTTGGGCTCCGGCCACGCAGGCAGCGGCTACAACGCAGGACTTCATCTCGCTGTGAGGTGGTGGTGTGAGAAGAGAAGGGTGTTAAAAGATGTGGTGGGCAGGACACGGAGTGACCGAAGGCGGCGGGCGTGGGCTGTCAAATTCGAGAGACAGGCCAAGAGCCGCCATGCCATCCAGATGACATCAACTACAGCTCGACCAATCACAGGTCGCAGGACTGTTGAGCTCGTTCATGAGCTCAGTATGTTTCGCCGCATTTTTTTTCGTCCAGGGGAGAATCTAGCTAGGAAAATCGCTGTGTGCTGCTCGAGGAACCATCGAAACACTGGTAGTTCTCCGTTTATGCTATGGGTCCATACCTTCTTTATCCTGAGCTGTCATCTGTGGGTAGAGATGCTAAATTCGGTTGAGTATTCATTGGGATTGGGGAATGTACGTGAACGAGGAAAAACGAAAACATGCGAACATGTGCGGCGATGCGGCGCAACAAAGTGGGCAAAAATACTGAAAAATACAGGCCCGCGGCCTGTGATTGGTCGAGCTGTTGTTGATGTCATCTGGATGGCGGCTCTTGGCCTGTCTCTCGAATTTTACAGCCCACGCCCGCCGCCTTCGGTCACTCCGTTTCCTGCCCACCACATCTTTTAACACCCTTCTCTTCTCACACCACCACCTAACAGCGAGATGAAGTCCTGCGTTGTAGCCGCTGCCTGCGTGGCCGGAGCCCAAGCCTTTGTGGCACCCAGGTGAGGGCAGCTGTTTCGCGTGCGCTTGCTGTGGTATCATCCTCTTGTGTTGGTACACGTCAACGTGATCATGCACCCGTGTGTAGGTCGCCGTGGTGTTTTGCGCTCCTCGTCTGTCCCATCACCCAAACCCTTCTCCTGCTGTTGTGGAGAGCCCGCAGCGGTATGGACAGCTTTGGCTCCAGAGTTCGTGCACAAGAGAAGTTAAAATGTAGCCTCGGTGGTGTACTTGTTATTGTCGATCGTGTCCTCTCGATTCGAACAGAACCTACAGACAGGTACCATGACGCACGGGGACAGCGAGTTCTGCCAACTAAAACAAGTTCGCAGAGCATCCAGCCTGCCATACGGTGCGGTTGTACCTGCTCACCCGTACGGTGCTCATACCACACGAGCACGCGTGTTGCCGCAACCGCCCGGGAAAAGCGGTTGCAATCCGCGCTCACGATGAGGCTATTTCATCTATGCATACATGAACGCTACACCGCGCACGGTGTGAGAAGACACGAGGCGCCGTCGATTCCACGTAACAGACTCGAATCCAAAATCATTGGCGTTCTTTCCCGTGACGAATATATGGGTATCTCACGCGTCAGCTGTTGTTGAACCTGTGATTTTCGGGTGGATTTCGCCTCCAGGAACACCTTTTTTTTCATGTACCATCTGTCGAAGGTGACGCCCGATTTTGATGTACCTTTACATCCATGAAACTACCCAAGCGAACAATTGGACCGCGTGGAACTCGGAACAAATTTAGTCCCGACCTGTGCAGAAGAGCTGCTTTCATGGCGCCCCTCACTCCTTCCAAGGGTGTAAAAGTTTCAAATGAGTCAAACAGGCCCGGTTGTTTTATTTTTTTTGACAATCAATACAGAACACGCCCGCACTTGGGACCCTCTAGTTTCGGCGGAGGCTCAAGTTCTTAGATCCGGGGGTCATTTTAAGAATGACCGTTAAGTAGATTTTAGTGTAGGGGCTCTTGACCGAGCTCACGAACGGTGCTTACGTTCAAACAATTGTTTTTTTATTTGACTCGATTTCTTAACTCCTGGGTTCCCAAGTGCGGGCGCGCTCTGTACACCCAGAAGAATAAACACCGAAAGAATGAGGGCGAAAATAGCGAGAGGAAAGAGGGAGACAGAAAGAGAGACGAGAAATGGGGGGAGGAGTAGAGCAGAAGCAGTGTAAGGCGAGGCCCCGCCTTGGTCGCTGCACCACAACCTGTTTTTCTTGTGCGTTGAACGCGTACCAGTGTGCTCAGGCCACATGGCACCTTTTTGTTTCGTTTGTTGTTCCGACTTTCTGCCTTCTTGCATCAGCCTCTCTGCCTGCACGCAAGAGAAGTTAGAGTCGGAATCAAATGTTGTGTACTTGACAAAGTCAAAAAATACACTCGAGCATCATGATTTATTGGGCGTCAACTCCCTCGGCATGTATTCTACATTGTTTTGCAGAGAGTCGTAAATCGTTGTAATGATTCGCCGGTGCATGTTCCCACGTCGTTGACCTGCTTATCCCTGCTCCTCTTTTCCCTCCTCCACTTCCCTTCCGGTTTCCCTGTTGGCACCCACTTTCGACCACCTCCACTAAACACCACAGCGCGTTCAACGGCGCCGCCGTCGCCACCTCGGCCAAGTCGTCCTCCGCCATGAAGATGTCGTTCGAGTCGGAGATCGGCGCGCAGCCTCCCCTCGGATTCTGGGACCCGCTCGGCCTTCTCGCGGACGCGGACCAGGAGCGGTTCGAGCGCCTCCGGTACGTGGAGGTGAAGCACGGGCGCATCGCTATGCTCGCCATCGCCGGTCACCTGACCCAGCAGAACGTCCGCCTCCCCGGCATGCTGTCGAACTCGGCGGACCTGTCGTTCGCGGACATGCCGAACGGCGTGGCCGCTCTGTCGAAGATCCCCCCGGCGGGCCTCGCGCAGATCTTCGCGTTCGTGGGCTTCCTTGAGCTGGCTGTGATGAAGAACGTGGAGGGCTCCTTCCCCGGAGACTTCACGAACGGCGGCAACCCGTTCGCGTCCTCGTGGGACGCGATGTCGGAGGAGACGCAGGCGTCGAAGCGCGCGATCGAGCTGAACAACGGGCGCGCGGCACAGATGGGCATCCTGGCTCTGATGGTGCACGAGGAGCTGAACAACAAGCCGTACGTGATCAACGACCTCCTCGGCGCGGGATACACCTTCAACTAGATCACTCGTCCATGCGTTCTTCAGAACGTTTTCACCGGTTTTGTTGCTGGAGGCGCTCTGTGAATAGCGGTGTCGTGTTGTGACGTTATTTTTTGTGGTTTCGTTCAGAAGCTGCAATGAGGGGAGGGGACCCCTTCTTTCGTTATAGGCTCCGGAACTAGATGATGCTCTGGTTCCGCGGCGTTTTATTTTCATTTGGGCTCATAGAAGCGGTGTCATTTCACCTTTTAGAAAGTTCCGACCGTGTAACCAACCCGCGGGTGGTTCGTATGGTACACCCTCTAGCGTGAGGCGTGCGGTTACTGTTCGGAGGCCAGGGGGCTAGGAGATTGGGGCCCATGTCGTTGGTGTGTCGGCTGCGCCTGTTGTTGCGACGCTTTGGCCTTGTGGATGGCGCCGGTTGTTGCTGTTACCCGTTTTGCCCTGTTTTTTGTCGTCGAGTCGTCGTGTCAAGCTTGACCATGGTGCGTACACCCGAGAGGCGTGCTGCGTCGATGGTAGTTGTTCTCGCTTTGCACCTCTTTGAACTGAACGGGACTCTGTGAATGGAAACAAGGCTATAAATCGAACACCGAGAGAAGCTTGCACTGCTGTGCTTGCAAACGCTGTCGTTGTGTCTGTGATTGCTGTAGCCTCTCGATGATGATGCTCGACGTTTAGCACCCGTCCTGCATATGCATCAGCACGTGAGGAAAATTTGACTCGATAACAGAGTGTCTTGGATGTTTTGTGCATGGGCTGTGCCCTGGCATTCATGAAACGGCCGTTCATGGAACAGTTATCTCGTATCACGAAGGGATTTCCGCCTCTCCCCTCCCTTGCTATGTCGGGAGGGCGAACACACAGATGGGGGGGGTGTACTGATGGTCGTGCATGCCGTAGTCACTAGACCATTGACCTCGCATCCCTACAAAGCCGGGACGGAGCACGCCGGGTTCTCACCGGACCAGGCTCTCACATCACCAAGCGCGAAGCGCCGTGAGATATCCGGCGAGTCGCATGAAGGGTGCGCTGCATCCTGCTAAGGGTGTTCGGCATCCTGTGCTTACTTCCTTGCGTACGGATGACAGCTGCGTGTGACTTAATTTAATTTCTGGTGCTTTCACTTCCAGAAACAGTTGTAAGCACTGTGTAACTGCGTCGAGGGTGCTTGACCATATTAACACAACGTGGTCCGACCCTCCCCCTTGCGCGGAGGGAGGGTTACCCACCCCGCACAACATGATCCACTCGACCATCATTATGGTTGCCGTCAAAAAAAAAAAAGGTGGGCAAACACCGTTGGGTGGACTTGTTTTTCAACGTCGTTGCCAAGCGACGAAAAACCAACCCCGATGGAAAACACCGGCGGCTAAAAGCGGGTTAATGTTGTGCCATATTTCGCACATGGTATGTTGTTGCGCCCAGCAACGTTAAGATGCTTCGTACAGGCGACCTCGGTCGGAAGCCTACGAGGGCAACACGTGCGCGCCTTTTGACGTTTTTAACACATGCACCGGGTACGCTACGTGTCGAGGCGCATTATACACCGGCAAAGTCGCACAGACTACTGCCATCGCTGATCAATGTCTTTATACAGGGGGGTGAACTCCCGCGATCAGCGATCAGGTGATTTTACTCGAGGACAATCTTGCAGGCGCCCTCCCTAACGTGTACATCACTCACGAACCACACAACGAAAGCCGGTCTCGTTGTTCAGGATACAGTTGGAGAGCTCTAGTTAGCAGCAGCCCCTCACATGAAAGTGGCCGTCGGCTTGGAATCGCTCAATTCGGGCAGCCCATATTCTTGTGCTGAAGATGTACCGATAAATCCGACGGGTGGTTCCAGCGTGCTATAGACAGAACAAACTGCTGCTGTCCTGCGCTCTCATGCAGGAAAACTGCTGCTGCTGCAAACCGCGGGCACACTCTCCGCTCTGAGAGCCAGAGGAATGCTGTGCGGCAGAGGTCACAAAAACACACATAATCCAACCTCTGTGTATGTAAATCAGGCCGAAAGGTCAGATGAAGCAGCGCGGTTGACTATTGAGGCTCTGCGGAAAAAGTTCAAAGAGGTACGTTTGCAGGAAGGGTTGACCAAGCAGCCCAATTGGGGCGGCTTGGGTGGGGGGGTGGTGAGGGCTTGATGGCAGGTGGCATGCAACCACTGTCTTTGGCGCCGGCGTTCTATGCAGTACCACCCGCGTTTCCCTAGAGGGAGGGGGAGAAGCGGCGATGCCACGGGATAGCTCCCGGATCGGTGTTGGTCGAAATCGTTCGCAACTTATTACAAAATCTGGCTGTCAAAATATGGATCGGGTTGATCGGGTGACATGTCATGACGTGGACACAGCAGGGACTCGCGCTCGGTCGGACGCTGGTAGAGGAACAAAGCGATAGACCTAACGGCTTCGAATTTCAGAGCGCTTGGCGCGTGAGCACCTCTGCCACCCTGCTTCCGCAAGAAACACTAGCCGACTACTTGTCAACAACAGCGAAGTATCTACAGCAGTACAGCAGTAGCGATACCGCGTCGCGCAAGTTCCTTAAAAAATCAGCCCAAAAAACAACGAAAACCCGGATCGCATGACGCGGGATGACGTGGACACAGCTCGGAAGCTCGTACGAAAGGATAACGAGAAATCGAAGATCTAACTGCTTCGAACGTCAGAGCGCTTGGAGGAGAAGCAACACCCTGTCTCCGCAAGAAAGCCAGCAAGATAAAAGGGTCGGGTTTCGCGCATGGAAAAATGCGGCAAAACTAAGCCTGAGTTTGTGAACAACAGTCCCGCGGCCTGTGATTGGCCGAGCTGTAGTTGATGTCATCTCGCCGTCGGCTACTCTTCTTCACGTCTCCAACTAACAGCCCACGCCCACGCCACCTTCGATCACTCCGTTTCCTGCCCACCACATCTCTCGACACCTTTCTCTTCCCACACCACCACCTCACATCAAGATGAAGTCCTGCGTTGTAGCCGCTGCCTGCGTGGCCGGAGCCCAAGCCTTCGTAGCACCCAGGTGAGAACAGCTGTCGGGGGCCTGACAGAGCCTCCACATGAACGTTCTTTGTGTCGATCATGTCCTCTCTTTGAAAGAAACATTTACCCATCATTGTCCCCACGCGCCCATGTGCATCCCGTCGTAGTAGCAGCCTGACACGAACGTCTCGGTGCGCAGGGTAGGGAACGACGAGTTTTACCGAACACAACCTATAGCAGAGCACCCATTTGGCGATGTGGGTAACTCGTCATAGCTTGTACCTCGCTTCTTGCGCACACACGATGCCGTCTCGCCAGAACTTTTGCTATTTAGTACAGTGGGTGGCCCGCTATAGTGCCGGTATCTGCAGAGAAATTTCACCGGCACTATACCGGACACCGGCACTATTCAAAGGACAGAACGACTTGGTATTCCAGTGTGTGCGAGCCGAAAACACCGGCACTATACCGGAAACCGGCACTATTCAACCGGCACTATATCGGGCCACCCACTGTACACAAACGCTACGACACGCCCGCTTTTGAAAAGACATCAGGCGCCATCGCTGCCACCCGACAGACTGAAATCCCTCAACGCCCTAGGTGTTGCTTCCGCAACAAGTCGTACGCATCAGCTGTTAATAAACCTGTGGTTTCGCGTGGATTCGCCTGCAGCACCTCGCTTTTCTTTACTTGTACTTGTTTTTTTGGCGGACGCTCTCTACCCCTTACCTTTCAGTCAGAATGCTCACGTGGTTGATACACTAAACCAGGTTCGCACAGGAGGCACTTCCCACCTTTGTTTCCTCCTGAAGGCAGAAGAGATTCGAACCCACGGCGTGCTGTAGCTGCGTACGGCTTGCTATATTCTACACATACAGCCGAGAAAGTTTTGAAGGGTTTCACGAGCGCAGACGAGCTGCTTTTTATAGCGTCCCTTAGTCCAGTCCGTTCAGGGGTAACTGGATGGCACACCTTCCCCATGACAAATGATATTCGTTCCCCAGGTACGGAGCCTTGTAGCGACAAAACCCTCTTGTGTTTCAATTGACGAGCATATTACCCATTGCTGGATCATGTCAATGAACTTGCTCTCTGCAGTACGTCCCATTTCGACATTTCATTCTATACGGTACCCCTTGGAAAACGTGTAAATGTTGAACTTGTTGAGAGGGAGCCGCGCACCGTTGTAGTGATCCGCCAGTGCCTTCTCTCAGTTTTTCGACCGGCTTGAAAATATTTTCAGTACCTCACGTCGTCCTTTCCTCCCCTTCCCTTTCCCTGTTGCCACCCACCCCCACACAATACCGACAGCGCGTTCAACGGCGCCGCCGTCGCCACCTCGGCCAAGTCGTCCTCCGCCATGAAGATGTCGTTCGAGTCGGAGATCGGCGCGCAGCCTCCCCTCGGATTCTGGGACCCGCTCGGCCTTCTCGCGGACGCGGACCAGGAGCGGTTCGAGCGCCTCCGGTACGTGGAGGTGAAGCACGGGCGCATCGCTATGCTCGCCATCGCCGGTCACCTGACCCAGCAGAACGTCCGCCTCCCCGGCATGCTGTCGAACTCGGCGGACCTGTCGTTCGCGGACATGCCGAACGGCGTGGCCGCTCTGTCGAAGATCCCCCCGGCGGGCCTCGCGCAAATCTTCGCGTTCGTGGGCTTCCTTGAGCTGGCTGTGATGAAGAACGTGGAGGGCTCCTTCCCCGGAGACTTCACGAACGGCGGCAACCCGTTCGCGTCCTCGTGGGACGCGATGTCGGAGGAGACCCAGGCGTCGAAGCGCGCGATCGAGCTGAACAACGGGCGCGCGGCACAGATGGGCATCCTGGCTCTGATGGTGCACGAGGAGCTGAACAACAAGCCGTACGTGATCAACGACCTCCTCGGCGCGGGATACACCTTCAACTAAGCCACCCACCGACCCACTCCGAAAGTAGCGAAACGTTTCCCGTAGGTTTCGACTAGAAGGACTGACCGGTTTGCGTTGGTGAGCGGATGTGTAGGGGGAGAGGGTAGCAGTCCTGTTTTGGGTTGCCGCACGTGGCCTCCGTTGCACCTTAGCTTTCCAATGCGTGGAGTTTTGTTTTCTAGTTTTTTCTCGGGGTTATAGACTAAAACAAACGCGTACAGACGCAAATCCCTTTTTACGAAGCGGTTCTGGAGGTCTTGATTCGTGACGGGACAACGCGGAAGCATGTACACGTTGAAGCGAAACTGTTCCTTGGGATATTGAAGAAAGGGCCGTGGTCAATCGTAGTCCTTCGCTCCCTGTTTTTTCGTAGACGCAAGGGGCTCGTTTTTCTGTTTTCTTGTTCTGCCGTGTGGAGTGTTTTCAGGCTTTTGCTTTCAATGATGAGTATCGTGGGAGGCTTGAGAGTGCCTTTCCCCCTTCGGGCGATTTCACGCGTGAACAAGAAGTGAAGAAAGAATTTCCTCATGTTCCCGTTGTTCTTGCTGCTACGCGGCTAGCGTTGTGGGCCATGCACACACGTACACATCCACACACACAGCTGCCTGTTGACTAGAACGAGTACCGAGGCCCTCAAGGTGTTGTCGATGAATCCAACTCAGGGAGTAGGCACGTGCGGGAGCACCCTTGTTGTCGGCTTGGGTGCCTTAAGCACACAGGGCTACTGGCTTGTTTCGTTCTTTCGTCCACAGCACGCAGAGTTAGATGATTTCGTATTGGCGACCTCGGTACGAAGGTATGAACGTGTAGTAAACGGTTTTGTTTTGTCGATGCAATGAAGAGGGCGCTTCTCTTCTGGCATATCATGCACGTGACACGCTGGTGCCCCCAACAAACTGATACATGCTTCGTATTGGTGACCTTGGTCCGAAGTATCAAAAGGTTGGCACATGCCTTTGATGATGTGTGTCACAGCGAAGCCGGCAAGTCTTTTGGCACATGTGCTGTCGTGGTGTGCGGGTGAGCCTACATTTAGATGCTCATATTGGCGAAGCGTTGTGTGACGTGACAACCCACGTTGCCGTTCGTTGAGACGTGGACATAAAATATTCGTCATTGGTCATACGCACCTTCGATAATATATACCGCCGAACGCTCTATTGCTGGTGGTGACACTTGCCCCGCATCCCACAACCTACAACACATGCACGCCGGGGAAAGAGAATACAAAGTGCAATCCTAAACCCATGCACAAACACATCAACACTAAAAACAACAGAGTGAAGACAAACGAACGTTTTGTCTTGGTCTGTACTGCCGCCACCGTTCTTCCGTCTACCCATCATTCCCGTGCTGCGCGTAGCAAAAAAAAAAGAGTTGTAAGACGTATGTAAGAGCCAATTCGCACTCTACGGTGCTATACACGCACACAGCAGAGCCACCCCTCCAAGATGAAGCACCTTGGCTGTAGATGTCTCCAATAGCTAGCGACGGGCCCAAGTAGAAATTTCCATACACCACAGCGCTAGAACTCAGCAGTGAAAGACCTCACGTGGGCCCAAACAAAGTATGGAAAAGCATGCGAGCCCTCAAAAGACGCGGCGGAACCTCGAGCGAGCCGACGGCACATCCCTGGTGAATACGAGAACGCGATGTATACGTTGCCAATAGGCACGAAACTTGGCACGAATGCGAACTGTTGAGCAGAGAGCAAGATGGAAAACTCTTGTAGTGATTTGTTGCGCGTAGGCGTCGGGGAGGACAGATTTAGCTGAAAAATGGCATCAAATCGGTGGCGTCATGCGTAGGTGTCTCAAGTCTGTTTACTGTAGGGTGTCTGGCATCTTGTAGCTGTCTTATTTGCGGATGAATAGCACTTTGAATTAGGTTGTATCATGCTGCATTGGTCGAGTACGCGTAATCGGCGCGCACCCATATTTGAAATGGAACCCACCTGGTACAATGATGATGTTGTACCGCGAAACTGCGGGCCAACCAAAAAGAGAGCTCGTTTCCTCTCTTGTCCCTTTCGCGATCATCATTTTTTTCGACCCCGTTCTGATTTGAAAAAGAGACAAGAAAAATACCCTCGATTAGTGATTTCTGATCCCTAGGGACAAAGGAACCCGTCCGTGATCGCTTCCATACCCTGAAAAGAACAATATATACTACACTGCAGAATTTTCCTTCCACGTTTGTTTGTGGGCATATTTTCGCTAGGGCGCACGCATTTTTTCGCACAACAGCAGTAGTGCGGCACAGGGAGAGGTCCCGTGCTGTCCACGGAGAGCATGACGTACGTGTGAAAAGGATAGGGTGGAACGAGACTTCCACCGGCTGTTAAGTACACATACGAAGTTACCGATAGAAGAAAGGCCATATTTTGTCCAACGCTTGTTCTTGAATTGGGTCAGGCAATATTCCACATCATGTACAAGCAAGACTGCTCCTAACGTCGGGCCGATGGCAAATACAGTCAAATCACTACATCTGTCGGCGGCTGACCTCAAACTTACAAAAAAAAAACATAAATACTAAACTGACTCAGCACGTCACACACGCTGGTAAATATGGTCAAATTAGACGGCAGTCTCTGACTCCACAAAATACAGCAGGTTCTTGACCACAAGGAGTACATTACACAAAATAACTGCACACACACACACACATGTTTGTACACGACAGGAGCCCAGAGCCGAACTATCACGAATGAAACAAAGGCAAGGATCGCAGCAAAGAGAGCTCACGGTGGCGGTGCCACCTATCTTTCCAGCTCGTGCGGTTCCCACCTTTGCCCGCACAAGCACACCCTCCCCAAACCCTATTCTCCAAGGCCTCCTCCTTCTTCACTGTACGCTTTTTAGCACGGAGGAACCTGTCGTCGTCACTGCCACCATTTTGTCACACACAAGCAAAAGCAGCAAAGAAAGGCAAACAACGGAAAGCGCAGGCGGTAAACATGGGGGTTGGTTAATGTGGACTAAGGTCACCTGGGTGGGATTTACGTCGGCGTTCTGCACGCCGTAGTACGTTCTCATACGATGAAATCGGGCCACAATCACGCAAATCCCTGCCGCACCCTCAGTTTATGGTCGAGAAGTTGGTAAGTACACACGGAACCAGGTGCACAACTCAAAGCGACTCTTGAACCCTCAGAACCAGTCAGCTCCTGCCGCCCCCCATGGACCTTCGGCCCCCCACCCGCATTTCCCCACCCTACATCCGGCCCGCCCTCCGACGTGTCTGATCCCCAGTCGCTGAATGCATCGCTGTAGTCGAACGCATCGGATTCCCACTTTGGGATTTCATCCCTCCCTTCGTTTTCCTCCTGCTCCTCCTCCTCCTCCTGCTCCTCCTCCTCCTCCTCCCCGTCCTCGTTCTTCGGTCCCTGTTGAATCACCCGGCGCGGCTGCCTGCTGACCA